TTTCTTTTTTGAATACCGGATAATTGCTTAGGAGCCAAAACTATTGAGTTATTTCTGAAATAAAATCTAAATTCATAAATTCTACTACTTAGTAAAATCAAGTATGAAAAACTGAAAAAGCAAGCAAATAAATAAATATATCATAAATTAATATCAATTTGTCAATTTTTTAATTGTTTTTTCTTTTTCAGTTTTAATTTTTTTTATAAACCTTAAATTCATATCTATTTGTCAATTTATCAGTTTTTAATTTTTTTTTCGATTTTCAGTTTTTTATAAAAATATATCATAAATAACAAATTAAAATCAATTCATCCAAATCAAATAAATATTATATAGAACCATTAATTCATTCTATTTCAAAGAATGAAATTAGAAAATATTTCAAATTAAAAACTAATAATTAGCCCTAGATTTTAAATATAAAAAATGAAACAATGAAAGAAAATTAAGATTTAAGAAATAAAAATTACAAAATTGGAAAGCTATGAATAATTGAATATGGAATACCTGGAGGGTGGAGCCGTGGAGGTCGGCGTCCGGCGGTGGAGGCGGCGTCCTTTCTTCGGCAGTCGGCTCTTCGGAGCAGGTCCAGTCCTGAGGATTCATCGGCCTGGGCCGAAACAGAAAAAAAGCCCTAAAAGTCTTATCCTTAATGGTCTAACAAATTCACATATGTGAACTAATTATATTTAATTTATAATTAACGCAATATTCTTAGAATAAAAAAATAAATGACAAAATTATAGTATTATAGTTACATACCGTAAAAGCTAGCCGAGAATTCGAGAAGTTCTCCTTGCATTCTTGAGAGCAAATTGGTTGATCACATCTTCACAGTCTATGCTCTTTAAGATTTCATTCTCAATAGCTATTGCCGCCAATCCGCTAAGTCTTTCTTGGGACACTGTAGACAGTAAGTAAGATTTCAGGAGCTTCAATTTGAAAAAACTTCTCTCTGCAGATGCCATTGTTTCTAGAACAATTAACAAAATTCTATATGCAATGAAGGCATTTTGGTGATAACGAAGTTCTTTTAAATGCTTCAAAACATCTATGGGGTTGCTAAATTCACTGGTTTGTAATGTGTTGAATGATTTCAACTCCATGTAAAGCTCTTCATCATCAATATCTGATCTTTCTTCGAACTTGAGTGCATTTTCAAGTTGATGACAAAACATTTTAAGCTCCTTTTCTTCAATTCCACTCAACTTATGTGGAAACAAAAACCCAAATAATCTCTCATAGTCTTTGAATTGTTCAAATCTCATCTCAAGAGAAGATATGGCTTTATCCACAACATAAGAGAAGAAATTGACCCTGAAATTCTCTTCAGTTTTAAATGAAACTTCTTCGCTACTTAAACTCTCATCAACTCTTTTTTTCCTTTGAATCAAACGCTTTTCTAGAAACATCAGAGGTGTATCCATTTCAGTAGCTATCTCCTTTGCTTCATCAATTGCTTTTGAATAACCAGTTTCTCTATAATCCTTGAAGTAGTCAATCAATCCATTTGTCTCTTTAATAGAAATATCTAGATGCATATCCTTTTATTGTAACTTCTTGCTCACTACATTTACCTGGTTTAATATTTGATACCAAATAACAATTGATACCAAAAACTCAAATTCACTAAGATTTTCTGCTAGTGACTTTGCTGTATGAACAATTGCATTATCACTATCTTTTTCTTCAACTTCAAGTAAAGCTT